GCTAGAACTTCTAAACTGTTAAGGATTGAATACATTAGTTCATGACTTACATGCTACAGCATGTATGTATTTATTCTGAATCAATTTTTTTACCACCACAAAGTCTACCTGGATGATATATACGTATTACTATAAAGCAGCAGGTTTTGTATATTAACTTTGAATCAATTCTGCTAGTGTCATCATGAAAATATCTATATTTGTATAAAATGAGAAAGTTTTTTGCCCAATGTGTACATTGAATGTTAACACCTGGAGAATCTGATCATTCCCACATGGTGGTTTGGCCAAATCCTCTGGGGTGAATGTGAACAGTACACCATGGGGAAAGACATTAGAACCCATGGAGACATCTGTGAACATCCCAGGGAGACTGATCATTTCCACATGGTAGTTTAGTCAAATCCCCTGGGGTGAATATGAGCAGTACCATGGGGGAAAGACATTGGAACCATGTGTTCATCTGTGAACAACCAGGGAGAGAAGATACTATCACCCTGGTGGATATCTACATTGCCCCCTGGGTATTTCCACAGCTCCCCATGAGACAGCTGTCTCATGTCTCATGTCCCATCACCAGTAATAGCGGTGGTCTCCATAAATCGATGTTTTTCGAGGAGCCGGATCCGAAAAAAAAATGTCATAAAATGTCAAAAAATTTCCCCGGCCTTGCCGGCCGGTGTAAGAGAAGTGCATTGGTGCACTGTACGGCCAGCTAAACGACGCGGAGCAGTGACCAGATCAGTGGAAGCAGAAGTGCTCCCATCTTGAGTGGAAGTGTGCTTTGTTGGTGCTTTGTTGCAACTTCCACTACTCATGAGTCCAAAGTTTTTGTCACCTGCGGCGTCCTGTCACACCACACCCGCCTGTCACACCCCGTCAGTTGTCACACTAATCGATATGATATAATAAGTACATGTACAAAAACAGCTAATAATCTTCTTCTGTAAATATGTCGGGACCAAACCCCCAGTCCTCACTATATGGTGGCATGGGCCTGGGCTCAAGATCAGGGTCAAGAGCAAAGGTGGGTCCAAACTCGTTGAGTGGTGAGGCTAGCCGGAGAGTCAGTGTGTTAGAGATGTCATCAATTGTATCGTTGATGAGATCCTCGGCCGTCGGAAGCTGGCTGATAATTTTGTGATCCTTGGCACCCTGCCGCTTGATCTGGGTCACACCGCTGGCTTTCTTTAGGGCCCTCTTTTGCTCCTTCAAGTCTTTAGCCAATTGTGTTGCGGCAGCAATCTCTAACTCGATGTTCTCAAGCTGCCCGCCGACGCTAGCGCGAGCCACAGCTGCCTTGAAATGCTTTTGACGTCGGCCAATATTATTGTGATCACGCTGGGCTTGCGTGTTACGATGGTTGACAAGTACACCGGACTCCTCGCATTTCCGGACTTTGATTTGCATTAATTTGTCCAGTTCATGGCCTCTGTTGCGCCAATCAGAAGTGTCATAGATCTCTATTTCGAGCACAAACGTTTGAATTGCCTCCAGAAGTGGCAGGTTAGTCCCCGTGTGAATGTTGGTAAACGGATGAGAGCTCTCATTCAGATTGGTGTGGTGGGTAGTACAATACCAATCCTCCTGTGATATATGGGAGAGGAACTCGTTGATTGACGGGAAAAACCAAGGGATAGAGTCCTTGTCAATAATCCAGTCTAATGAAATGTCAGATGTTATTAGCCCAAGAGACATAGACGGACCTCGAACAATTTTGTGCTCGGAGCCCTTGCACCATCGAACGAACTCGTTGAGATCAGCTTGAGTTTTGATGAATTGGCAATTACGAATCCGAGCCATCTCGACATCCCCGACAGTTCGCGCCATCTCCGTAAGCTTTCGTTCAAAATGGAATACACATGTTCGAAGGACATGTGTCAAAAAAAGCTTAGGATCAGTCTCGAATACACCGCTCAAATGCGGTTGATTTCGGCTCAGCAGATATTCCCCCAGTGCGTTGGCTTGTGGCTTGTTGCCGTCAAGGGCAATAGACAAGAGGCCTTCGCCATCAACACACTTGATCTTCACTGGCCGTTTTGTGACACGTTCAAATGCTTCGAAGAGACTGGGCCACATCTTTTTGAACACCGCCAACGATTCATGTTTGCTGTATATGCGCGCCACTGTCAAACCTGAGGATCTGTGTTAGCCAGCATCATAGTAGTCGATAGCAATCACGAACGCATGTTCAGACGATCATCCCAGATGACAACCTCCCACTCCTTCCATTCTCCATGGACTCGACAGTATGTGTTATCATGGACAGTAAAACGCGCAGCATGTACACGTTCCGCAAGGCCCGCCAACATCGTCACAATCATCTCCTCCCCGGGCTCTGAAACCACCTTATGAATATAGAGTGCACTCTCGGGTTCTTTTTTTGCCATTTCCAACTGAAGGTGAAGAACACCTACACCGTGTGAGCGACAGCCAATAATCCTAATAAATGAAATACCTTCGAGTCCAAGACCATGTTTGTTCGCAAGCTTCTTCTCATCTGCAATGATCTTCCGAATATGACGCTGGTTTAGGAACGCAGGATCATCCACAATGACCTTGGAGCCTACCGACATTCAATATTTACGAAATGATATGATATTGCTCTACCTACCTACACCCAGCTTTGAGACTGTCAACCCAACAGTCCCTCGCTCCTGGACTGCCTTGGTGATAATTGCCTTTCCCTCCTCGGACGGTTTGGTTTGCGGCAGTTCCGGATGCGAGTGATAATTCATGAAGAAGATGATGGCTTTATGGACACTGCGATCGATGGGTGCGTAGATGAAGACTTCCGCTGGACAGTCTTGGTGTTGCAAGTTGCCATGAGCAACTTGACCACTGGCCGACACGGTTGTGAACTCTGAGAGTGACGTTTGAGCAAGCAAATTTGGAAATAGCTGGTTTCGTACCACATCGTTTAGCCCCTTTGGCGCCATTGCGACGCGGTTTGATATTGGCACAATGCTCATATTCAGGGCCCAGGCTTGTGTGGGACCTGAAGACACCGTTATTCTGGAGTAATTCGACCGCCTGGGCTTCCGGAACCTCGCGGTGAATGGGGAGGAAAATATGGTTGAGCTCTCCGCGAATGTAGTGCGAGCAACCAATAAACCCTTGCTTCCCGTCATTGCTGAGATCAATCTATGTAAACTGAGTTAGAAATATATACACAGAAGTAATCAGAATCCAAACCGAGGTATAGCGCCGATAGGTTCCGGTCCCAATACACTTGTTGCCGTTTGCGTCCTTGTGCTTGCACTTCGTGGCTTGTACTTCAAGGTAAAATCTGGACAAAAGGCTTGGTTAGACGACGGTGTAACAGCGAGATAATCCTAAACTCACGTTGCCGCTCGCATGAAAGGTGACGCAACCTGACGTTGGTTGGTGTCACACAAGGCCTCGAAGAATCGGTGCATTTCGTCTTTGTCGGCATTAAAACGGCGGTAGTCGTCATCCAGCAACTCGGGGTCGATCTGAGAGCAGACCGTCACTCCCTGACAATAATGATGTGCAAGCTGGCATAGTTCGCCATCCAGTGCCAGAACCTTCGTTGTTTTCCCCTCCTTGGTACTCCCAGCGCTCCCGCCTCCCCACGAATCCTGGTTCTGAAAGCATTCAATGCTGCGGCAAGAGGCACGAGACAGAGTAGCTTACCGTGGCCTTGAACAGCGTGATCATCGATTCGCCATCCTTCCAATCGTGCGGATAGTCTGAGAGATCCCAGAGATATGCAACCGCATCGCCGTCCCGGGGAATGTTCCAGCAAACTGGAATGTCCTTCACCATTATCAGGTCCCGCACTGACGTTTCGCGAGTAATCTCGATTGTTCGTGTCGGGTCATCGCACTTCAATCGTTTTGCTCGTACTTTGTGCTTCGGGCGATGGCGTTTGGGCAGCGGAGCAAGGTCATCCTCGCTATCAGAATGACGATTGTCGCGCGACCGTTTGCCTTTTGCACGGTGTACAGGACTTGGAGGTAAGTTGGTAGTTGGTACTTGTGTCAGCACACCAGCTGAGGCCACAGTCGTGGTTGTTGTTATCGGAGTTGGCGTGGAAGTAATGGAAAGGTCCGAGACGCTATTGCGCGACGGTTTTGGGGTGACCGTACTCGGAAAAGCGGTCGGGAGGTGGGTGGCATGAGCCTGTTGGGATCATCGAGCAAGCCAGACAAGGAAAGCGTCCAGCTGAAGCCAGGTATCAGTGTTTTCAAGATTGTAGACGCCTAGGTCAAGGAGCGCGGTTGGCAGTGTCTATGAAGACAATGAGCTGTATGCGGTGGTGCTCGTCGCTGGAAACGCACCTCGTGCCACACTTCCACAGTCGGAGGTCACTTCCACTTCCACTGGTGTGTGCCCGCTTCCACTCGGCGGCTTCTGCTTCCATTGCTTTTGTATATACTCACGACGCGTCACGTGTGTGTGTGTGTGTAGCAATAGGGGGCTCAAAGCACCGGGCGTTACGTCCGTCTTACATACTGTAGTATTTCAATCAATTCTGCAGCCCTGTGACCTGTGACACATGTAGCAGAAATGTGCAATTCAGCCAAGGGCAAGATTTGGTGTGACCTCCTGCCTTATATGGAAGTTCTGCGCGCCGGAGGCGGCGGAAAAATTTGGAAATTACCATTTTGGGATGGTTTGGGACCAAACATATCTGCTGTGACCTGTGACAGGCAGAAAAATTTCGGCCAAAAATCTCAATGTGACCGTGACATGATTAATTGATCGAAATACTACAGTACTCGAGTCACAGACTTGTCACAGACTCGAATTTGGGGGGGTCGCTGACGTCATCTCAGGATTCGGACTCTTACCAGTCATTCCCTCGAAAGACCGCCCGTTCAACGTTGACAACGTTGACTGCAGATGTTGTCTGCCGCCCAGCATCTCACGCTGGTCCAAAGAGTGAAGTCTGACGATTGCCGACTGCAAGCCGACTCCACAACCAAGAATAAACGTCTCTAACTCTCTCTCTCTCCGATCAATCTCGCAAGGCGATGTTACTGCATCCCGCGGCTGGCAGCGAGCGGCTGTCGTTGATTACTCTCAAGGCCTCATCTTTCTTCCCCCTTCCTGCGTTGCACAGCTGGCTTTGCAAGCTGGCCATAGATTTTTTCGTTTCGGCATTCGCGTCATATCCCAGTAAGCCAGAGTCGGCGGGCAGTTGGAGAGTCGGAGCATGGCTATCCTTTGGCACTCGGGGATGCTTGGGACCTACATTGTGCGTAGTCCTATAGCTTTTTCGCGCTTTCGAGCATTCCTTCCCCATTCTCAGGCCAGGAGAACACGATATGCCCTCCCCTTCTACCATCCCAGAACCCTCCCACATGACCGAAAACTCCCGCCCTATCTTCTTCACCCCGTGCGCCTGTGTAGCATCCTCCTCATCGTCACCTTCTCCTCCGTCACACTCTTCCTCCTCTTTCATGCTCGGTCTCTCGCGGCAGTCTTCATCGGTCACCGCTGGCGTCTACAGGAGCTATTCATACCCGCCCCTTGGAGCATCGTTCCGCTTATCGAGCCACCCTCGCCTCATCCCGTGCGCCTGGCCACGACAGACACCGTGTACGACGCTTTTCTCGCGCCGTCGGCGGCCCAGGCCGTTGCAGACGCCCGAATTCGTCCAATACGCGCCCATGATGCAATCCCATATGACTGTCTCGACAACTGGGTCGCGACTGGGAGGTGGGAAGCCTCGTGTCTCCACGGAATGGTGCATGAATCGCAGATAGATTTGGTGTATGTTTGGGTCAATGGCTCGTGCGTTACAGTCCCTTTCGTTAACTTCCACCACTGAAATTGACCATCAGCGATGCATTGCATTCACAATCTAGAGCAGAATTGCTCGCGCGGTTGGGGTATGAGACCAAGAATGCGCGGTTTAGGGAGCACGACGAGCTGCGGTATTCCTTGCGGGCGGCGCGCCAGGCCACAAAAGGGTGGCCGCATAGCGCGTGGCATCTCGTTACGGCTGACGTCAAGACGCCCAATGAAACACGGCTGGACAGCATGTCTCATTACGAGCGTGCAGCGGTGTCCATTGCGCGGGACGACGAGATGGGCATCGTTGGCAACGGAGAGGAGAGCCGGGAGAAACGGTTGGGCTTGGTACCCCAGTGGCTAGACATCGACTGCGCTTTCAATGCGAGTCGAAGTCAGGTGAGAAATAATGGAAACAGTGAGCATCCGCCGATAATATTGCATCACGGTTAGCCCACAGTTTTTACTTCGTTAATTTTCGATGAATAATTGCAGACACTCAGCTTTTTCGATACTCGAACGACCCTGAGGTCCCGGTAGAACCAGAACATATTGCGAATTGGCTGGCAAAGGTTATGCCAAGCTTCAATAGGTATATAGCTTACTTCCTTCTCTGCGGTTCTCTCAAAATACCTGCAGCCACGCCATCGAGTCCCAGCTCGCCAACCTCCCACCAGACATTGTCGCGGACCAGATTGTGGCCATGAACGACGACCAGTTCCTCACGCTGCCGACTCCACCATCCGCCTTCCACACCACGCTGTACGGGTCAGTTCTTCGCATGGACCCCGAGCTGCTGGTCGGCGGGGACAACACCGGTGCCGGTGATGGAGGTGGGGAGTGGCGCTCGATCCCGTGGAGCGCACATCTGCTAGGTGAGCTTCATGATATCATACTTCGTTGATCTGACTCTTGTCAGATGAACGCTTCGGGAAACGAAAGCGCCCGTACATGAAGCACATCTCCCGCTCGTTGTCATTACCTCTTCTCCATGAAGCCCTGCTTGCATTTGGGAAACCGTTCGCCGCGACGCCGCTATCGCAGTTCCGTGGTTCCCATTTTGCCTCGCGTGAATGGGAGGTGAACACAATCTTTCTTGCGTCGCATTTTGTTATCGAGCGTCATAGGGAGGCGCTACTTTGGAGCTGGGTTGTGGGTAAATGGGGCGGGGTGATTGGGGTATTGGATGCGGAGACCAAGTTCAAGATGTGGGTGGAGATGGGCGGGGAGAGCATGGGGAAGACGATGCTTAACCTGAAGGAGGCAAAACGGACGACATTGGCCGACGTGGAGAGGAACCTGCGCCGAGCAGGGGTCAAACCGCCGCGGGGTAAAGGCCAAATGGACACAAATTATTATTGGGGTAAGTCTTCCTCAGTAATAGTACCAGAAGACCAATAACATATGTGGCCTAGTCTCAATGGACGGATATAGTGCCTCATGGATGAACCTCGCCGAGCGCATCCACATAACCCCGGCGTGTCTCGGGAACCACACAGAGGCGGCGTGGGCAATGTTCCGTAGACTAGTAATGAACGATCTCGCGTGCGGAGACCAGAGTAGGTATGCGACAGCTCCTATTTTCCCACTATTGACCTTTGCCAGTCATTTCCTCGTTGATGTACTCCACCCGCAGCGGCCTAGGCATCTTTCTCCCGCCCACACCGAGTTTTCCCGTAGCCTCTGACGAGCCGATAACCCTCCCACTCGTTCTCCCAACCACGCGGCCGTTCTTTCCCTCCAACCCCCGCGCATTCGCCGTGCGCCTGATTCAGCGCTACGCCTACGTGCTGGGCCACTCCCCGGCGTACTTCATCGGGCCCAAAAACTCGCAGCAGATGGACGCGCAGCTGCGAACGGCGGACAAGTTGCGCTACGCGGGGCTATTGTGCATTAACGATGACCTCGGCGACGACGAAAGCGATATTACGCGGGCGGAGGCCGTATTGAAGGCGTGGTTTGCGATGCGGTGGCCAGAGCGGCTGGAGTGCGAGATCGGATGAATGACCGGGATGCTAATTCAGAATGTTGTTACTATGTGCCAGTGTATCCAGTCAGCCTAATGAGTACTCAATAGAATTGGCTGCAATCGCCCCACAGGCAAAGCGGTAAGTACTCATTACAGCATAAACGGTTCAAGTCAAATGTTGCTACGAATTGGAAGAAATGTGGAATATGGAATGATTGTGTAGTCAGCGTAGTAGTATTCTATGAGAACTACGAGTACATCAAGGCAGCCAGGCCCCAGTGCAGGATTCTATAGGGTAGACCGCCCACAAGATTCTTAAGTCGAATAGAAGAAGCGCCAGTACCCGGGAAGAACATGGGCGGCGGCAGCCCAGACCTAAGTATCCTTCATTAACCCACTGTGCAATATTGGAGAAAAGCGGGTAACCCACATTATACCAAAAGTAACTTCGACGGTCGTCGTCGATGGTGGTCTTCAATACAAATCGGCCCCCAGCAAATGCGCCCAGCACGACGAAAGCGGTGGCCGTGAAAGTGTCGAGCTGCCAGATCCAAGAGAGCGCAATGGACCAGAGGACGACGCTGGCCATCAAGAACGGCCGCGCCTGTGCGCCAAAGCGGAGCGGGATAGTGTCGCGGCGAAGCTCGGCGTCGCCTACGACATCTCTGAAGTCCTGTGCGTAGATCGTGGTGGCAAACAGCAGTCCGCTGAGCAGAATTGCGCGCCAGCAACGGGGATCTAGGCTGGTCTTGTTGTCTCCTATGATAACACGGCTGGGAAGTAAAATAAGAAACAGAGTTAATGGCAGACGTACGTGCAACAAGCGTGGTGCCCGCCTCAAACGCAGCATAACCGAGTCCGTTGAGAAGATTTCGTGAGATAGCGCTCCTCCCGTCGCACCTGAGCTCGTTGTATGTCACGGTAAGGAACGACACAACCACACTGGCCAGCATTGTCTCCTTGCTATACATCAGGCTCAACCCCCCACATATCGGCACCAGCGCCCAACGCAGAATCCGCGCATGTTCGAAGGTAATACGGCCGGCAGGAATCGGTCGATGGGGTTTGTTTGTGGCGTCCTCAGAGGACGTTGTTTGGTTGGATGTGTTGAAAGTCAGGACGTGTAGCCATAGCCAGAATAAGAGATGTGGAATGTTAGCGTAGGTGGTCAGCGGGGCGGCGACCATTGCGAAGACAGACTGCAAATGATATTCAAGCACGGCATGCGTAGTCCAGGAACAGAGCGTACGACGGGCACTAGCATCGTCATAACGTCTGACTCAGTGAAGAGCCAGAGGGTCTTGGCATGGTAGGCTAGCGATGAGGGAGTCTAGAAAAATTTCAAGTTAGCGATGACCAAATTCTGCAGAAATACGGACGATCGGCACTGGGCGGTGGATCGACTTGGAGGCGTTCAAACAGTCGGACGTCGACAAGGGCCCGGACGCGTGATATAATGTTTTAGCCTGCGCCATCATCGTGGTCGTCAACTCCGATGGAAAGGGATCGCCAAGAAAGGCAGGACGCGGGAAAGGGGAGGTGGAATGGCCCTATGATGTTGCGGGTCTTAAAAGGAAGTGAAGTTGGTCAAAGAGATTCGTTGAAACATCAGGGTAACTGCGTCACTGCCAGTGTCCATTTCACCGAAAAAGCAAATTGAGTCCTTCAAAAAGGGCACTATCACCCACGACGATTCCGCTAGCGGATGCGGTAGCGCATATGGCCTAACGGAGGCGGGTGAGATACCGACCGAAGTGAATGCAGATACAACTTGAAAGTCGGGGAGTCATGGTCGTCTCGCGGACGCCGGATATCAACGGATATCAAGGCCATGCACAAACCAGGGTACCGTGCGTTCCGAAACATGTTTTGCCGGTTTTGTTTTTGGCGATTGTTGTGGTCCAAAGTTTCGACGACTCCGACGACCATGTCTCCACTGAGGTCCAAAAATTGCGTGGCACTTGGCACTTCGTCCGCGTCACGGAGGACGGGCATCGGCGCTAAATCTGTGGTGTGTCAAGTCCGTAGCATCGCGGGCTGAGAACCCAGGAAGACCGCAACCATCCTTGAGTGGCGCCCAGTCGAAGGAGGGAAGACTCTCCGGGACTCGGAGACGGTGGGTCAACGCCAGCCTTCTCGGAGGCAGGCAAGGTGGGGGTGGGGCAGAGCCATATGGGCTTAGGGCTCAGAGCCCTAGGAGGGCCTGAGATTAGGCACGCACGACAGGTAAGAGCGCGGATGAGGCAATCCGCAGCTTGTCCGAAGCCGGAGGAGGTGTGACGCCGCTTGCTTACGTGATGTGATCTGCGCTGTTTGTCCCGCCAACTGTCAGTGTCACTAGGTAGGTACGCCGCCGCTTTATTTTGTCCCTTATTTGGGACAGATTGGGTACATTTTGGTGCTGGACTTGATTTTTCTATAGATGATCCTATGTGATTTAGAGTGGTCATCGGACATCAAGGGGGTCAGCATCCGAATCACGGATATAGGGCAAGGTCCCAAAAATATTGTACATAGGGCTGATTTTTTTTTCTTTTTTTTTCTGGGCTTTCAGACCCCCCCTCCTTCCTTCTATAGTAATGATCTGCATTGAAAATGTGACTGATGTGATCAAGTCTTATAAATGAAAAATTTAACTGGATCAAGGTGTAACTAGGCTCTTATCATATGCCTATATGACATACAGAGTATGCCTCTTGACCAAAACCAAAACCAAAACCAAAGCCCAAAATGGTAGTGGTCACAGTCACAGTCACTGTGACAGCTGGTATGTTGTTGATAAAAGCAGATACATTACCTGTCCCTTGTGTTGTCTTCATCCTTGAGAGTAGAACAGCCTATCAGGAAAAACCTCCCTGAGAAATCTCATGAAATTTTGGGAAATTTCAATGGGCTTGAGAAATGCTGAGAAATTTAACCAGATTCCATAGAATTTCTAGAAATTTCAAAAAAATCTTCTGAAGCATGTCAAATTAATAGCTAAATGAACACAAACTAGGACAAAGTACTATGTATAATAAGTGTGAATGTTTATTTTTGCAAGGTCTTATGCCTAGGGTTGCTATTTCAATTCTGTACTTCAAAATTACATGTGAATCGTTTCCAAGTCTGTCATCAAAAACTGGCCCTAAACTCATCATGTTACCATGTCGTTGACAGATCTTTGATGGATTTGTTACATGATGTGACATCTGAAAAAGAAATCGTCACTGCAGGAGTTTGAGAATAAACGGCCCCCGTTTCGATCGATTATATGGCTAAAATCAATGTACCAAAAAAAGATTTTTTTTATACCTTTATTTGTGCCAAAAAAGGTTCACTTATATGATCCAGGGCCCTGATATATGTTATATAAGGGCATATTCACCATATCAGTGCATTTTTTTGGCACAAATAGAGGTGCAAAACAAATTCTTTTTGTGATACATTGATTTTAGGTGTATAATCGATCGAAACGGGCGCCGTTTATTCCTTAACTCCCCGCAGTGCGTACCACTCTTTTCTTCTCCCCCTCATGTTCCCCTTCTTGAGCCTTCGAAAGCATAGGCCGCCGCCACTTCTACGTGGAAGCACACTTCCAGCGCTCTCCCCCTCCCCAGCGCTGAGTTTCTGCTCTGCTCTTCCCCATCCTTACTCGCTGTCGCTGTCGGCCGTGGTCGTGGTTGTGGCCCACACACACGTCTTTGACCCGTAAAACGCGCACTAGGGATCTTGGCGCCAACCCTTTGGGCTCTCCTGCAGTGCGAGGGAGAGAGACAGAGGCGAAGGGGAAGGAGGGGAGGGGAGGATGGCGAACCTGAGGTGGACGAGCGTGGACGAGCTCGACGATGACCATAGTCACACCTGTAAGCTGTGAACTGCCCCAAGGCAGGCACCCCACCTGGTACGCCCGCTGCCCTTCTTTGTGTGTCTTGCCGTTGATGATGCCCTAGTAGCAACAACTGTGTGGAGACAAGACCGCATCCAGCAGCTTCTCCTCTGGCCGCAGCGGTGTCGTTGGGCAGGGACCGTCCTCGCGCTCATCTCTGCTTCCCTCCCCTGATCTTATTTCGCCCCGTTGCCTATGTTGTAGATGTTGCGAGCCTGACCTGTCCCACAAGGTCAGCTTTATATTATGGCTGTTGCGTTCAATGCTTACCATGTTTGCAGCGCCGTCAACCTCAAAGCACCCTCAGTCCCGCTCTCGGCAACTGTCATTGGATGGTGAGGAGCAGGTTGTCGCCGTCGTGGGTTGACAATAGCTGATTACTTGACAGGTCAAGCAGGGCATCCAGATCATGCATCTCGAGCGGGATGCCATCATCTTCGCGGATGGGTCAGCGATGGGCGCAGACGTCGTCGTGCGTGTGTGCGTGCACCTGCTTCACACCCCCTGACACTTATAACATTATCTCCTTCTAGCTCATTGAGCGCTACGTGGACATCCTCGATACGTGGCCCGATGACGTGCCGGTGTGGGGTATGGACGCAGAGGGTGAGATGTGTGCGATGGTGTAATGTGAACAGGTGCATGTCGCACTCAGTCTATCGCTAGCTCTGCTTGTACTTCTTCTGTAGGCATTATTGTATTGTGTGGTCCAATGAATATCGTTTAATTTATTTGACCCAATATGATGAGAAGGCGTGAAAAGCCCACTAAATTACTGGAAATCTGGTGAAAACTTTGAAGGATTTCTGGAAATTTCTGGGGGACTAACACTAGGGGCATGAGCTACGGCGTGCCGGAACACGCGGACCGGCCGCGTGGTCGGTCGCGTGGCTCAAGCGTGGCTGACTCGTACCTACGGCGTGCCAGCCAAGTTGCAGCCAAGGTTCCAAAGGTTGAAAGAACAATGACATCACCATGATATTCAGTAAGCCATATTACATTGGAGATTGAGAAACCCGCCGAAAGACAAGGTTTCAACAAGTTGCTGCCACCAGCACCGGCCCGGGCCCCCGCCGCGGCGAGCGACCGTCCGCGCTCGGTACATTGATCAGCTACGGCACAGTCTCGCTCGACACCGCGGGGAGACCTACGCCCGCCCGCCCGTGCGCACCGTGACCACACCCAGCTGTTCGCCTCCGGCGGCTACGCTGACCGCCCATACATGCTCAGCCTGCCGTCCCGACGCGCGCACACACAGCGTGCTATACTTCGACTACATCACAAACACCGGTTGCCCGCGACACGCGGGGCCGTGTCCCATGGATGATCGAATAAGTAGCAGCCCTGCCAGCGCTGGGTCGACCGGGAGCGGGAGCGGCCGCGGGCACCCTTGGCGTGCTCTTCTTCCACCGATGTCACCTGCAACAGCAGACTGCACGTTGCCATCCGAAAGCTGTTTGGCGGCTGCGCTGCCAGACGCGCCCAGTGGCAAGTGCCCAGGTGACCGTGACGTCTGTCCGCTGATCAGCCCCTCCTTTGCGGCATGCGCGAGCTGGAGTGGCCGCTCCCCGAGTCGCTCTACCCCGCGCCCAGCCACGACCACGCCCGAACACGCCGCCCGCGTCGCCGTGGCCCCCACGGTCTGCACGTCCTCCGTGTGCCACATCCACGCGCAACCCGCCCGCCCGCCCGCCCGCCACCGCCTCGCCGGCCCGCGCAGCCGACGATGGGCTACTCGGTGCGCTACCAGCGGAGAGGAGAGACAGTGACGGTCTTCAAGTTTGCTTCATATCGTGTGGGAAGTGGCTCGCAAACGTGACTGAAAGCTGTTTGGCGGCTGTGCTCGAAGCCAGACGCGCCCAGTCGTGCTCGACGTTGCCGACGTCGATGGGCTATAACTTCACCATTTTTTTTCTCAACAGATTTTGTTGATTCTTAATGGGAACTGATCGCACAACATGCACGCATCATCAGCAACATCAACTGTCAAACACATCAATCCCGCCCCATGCCCGACACAGCGCCGCCGTCCCTGGCGCAATGCCCAATGCCTCCCACCTCAGATAGATAAAAGTTGTGGAATGTTTCATAATGCCTTGCACTGTCTGTAGAATTGCAGTAGCTACATTTGTTGTGATGTTATGAATACTTTTAATTAACTCAACAACTGCTCAGCTGCCTGGCCAACGCAAGGTTGGGGCACTCCACAGCCAGCTGCCACTAGTAGCTAGGGACTTTGTGATACTTTCTATCCAGAAAGTTAGGCACAGGGGCATTGTGCAAGAGTTTTAGATCCAGAAAAACTGGAAATCAGGTCGTTATAGGTGAGGTGATTGCAAATAGTGGCTGTGCTATTTGCAATCATTTGGTCATGTGATCATCCTAGCAACACCTTTGCAGGACTGGTGAGCAAGGTAGCCTGTCTACACCATCTCAAATTTGTTAACTGAACTTTAGTATTGCTCCACTTCAGAAAAACCTATTAAAAGCTACCCAGTGGAGTTATGATAATAGCCGCTTCAGCATTAATGTAAAGGCAAAGGGTATGAAAAAAATCAGCTAGGTTAGTGGATGTAAGAGCCATCTATTAATCATCATATATATCACCTC